TTAACTCGTGTTTATTTGCCCATCTCTACCTGGGCTGATATTACTTCTGTGGTTTGGAGTGTCGAGGGTGAATGGATGTCTCGGAAATGTTGTGGATGACGAGCGGTGCTGGAATGGGAGGCGTTCACATCGCCTCTCCAGACAGCCCATCCGAGCTCTGGCTCTCCCAGCTGTCTGCTGCTCCTTGCTTTAGAGCTGTTTGGACGCTTGGGCTGTGATGCAGACTAGTGTCACCACTGCCACTCAGCCCTCACTTCTTAGTGGTTGATAAGGTGCTGTTATGCTGGTGCTGTGTTATCCTTAATCTGCCTTTGGCCTGCAAAGGGTCTAACAGCAGCTGCTTCTCTGACATCTCTGCAGGCTCTCTAGGCACTTCATTACTCTTCCCGGGAAGAGAACATTGCAGTCCAGTTACTGTGTCCGCGGAGAGCACAGCTCATCTTCCCTTGCCAGCCCCAGTACCAGGACACTGGAGCTGGGAGCAGGTTGCACTTTGTCTCTCCAGGTGCATGAGGCACAGTATACCGTGCTGATAACGCACCGTGTGCTCAAACCTCTCACCTTGTATTTATTCTGTTTAAGATAGCAATCCTGTTTCCTCACCTTCAAAATATCTCTGGCTCCCAAGCATGGGACAAAGAGAGTTGTGGACACAGAGCTGGGAAACTGGGAAGTGGGTGCTTTGGAACCCCGAGGCTCCTGTGTTCATTGCACCGCTGCCTCTTCCGTTTTAACTGGGGTTCTTGCTGCAGGCAGCACCTGATGCACAGGTTTCCAGACCTGCCAGGTTTCCCTGCCTTTTGCTGGTGTTCAGGGGAGGTGGGGCCGTGGTTTTCAGTCAAATGTCAAGGGCTCTTCCTGGCGAGCTGACAGCATCTGTGTTTCAGACGTACACAGGCTATCGGGATGAGACATTCTTACTCAGAAACATTGGCGCAGACAGACAGACATTCCTCCTGCCACGGAGACAGGCAGGCACTCGCTGTTGCCAAGCCTTGAAGTGTTTGGCGTGTTTTCTGTTGCCCTAGTTTTGTGGAGTTGTACCTGAAGTTTTACAAGTACACGAGAATCTGGGCTTTTATTTAAAAGGGAGAGAAAGAGAAGGGAAGGCATAAATAAACTCACCCAGCGTGCTCCTGCCTAGACAGCGGGGGTAGGAGAACGTGACTCCGTTGCTTAAAACCAGAAGGCAAATGGAATAACCCCAGTGCTTTTCTGAACCATTTGACAAGTCAGCCTTGGGTCTGGGGGAGTTTCGGACTTGTCTCTCGGGTTTTGGGTAAGTGAAGAGCGTGCAGCACATCTTGTGCTCGGAGGGAGGGAGGATCTGCAGCCCTGGGAACGCTGGCACATCCACAGTGTCCCCTGCAAGCAGTAACGAACCAACCGAAGCAGTCAGGCTCTCTAGATGAGGAGAGCCCTGTGTTCTTCACATCCCCTCCGCATTCCGAGCCGTGCTTTTTTGGCTGTTCCACTTCCGAAGCCTTCCTTGCAAACAGGAGGATCTCGGGCTCTTTTAAGCAGAAGCCAAGATTTCATGTAAGAACGTGATCTGGGGAAGTGGAGTTTTGACATTTTCATGGTTGTGTCATAGATCATCAGACTTCCATATAGGTTTATGCAGAAATGAAGGTAATTATTCACAGAGGGGCCCTGTTAAGCTTTGTACTCCCTGGTTGATCTATAGGGAAGACCCACTGGCTCTCCCAGGCCCTATCTCCATCCCTCCATAGGCTCGCTGGGATCACAGGCAGCTGCCTGCACGCTTTGGTGTTGGTTCTATAGGCAGCGGCCGAGGCACGTGCTCCTGAGATCACAGCTGAATCCACAGGCTCGTGCCTGTGTGCTGCCCGAGCGGAGGGACACACGCAGGCAGGCTCCCACAACAGAAAGGTTTCCAATAAAGCTGAAACACAGAGGTATTGTTTGTCCAACTGCTGGCAAAGGCACAGAGCCATTGTGCGGGTCCTGAAAGCCTCAGCGCTTTATTCTCTGCAGCCTGAATGGCAGCCGCGGGTAATAATAACACGAGATTAAAAAAGCCAACATTATAGGGGCATTTACAACCCGCTGAGAGAGTGAAATCGCAGCAAGGCTGAGCTGTGTCTCGAGTGATCCTACGTCCTTACTGCTTGATAAGGAAATGATGGGCAGCTCTGGAGAGGCAGCCACCACGGAGTGGATGAAAGGGGAGCGGGTTGTCTGTTGGAGCGCTGCAGTGAGTACAGTGGCACAGATGGAAAAGCTCTCTGCAGATGGAGCGAGTGGCCTGTCCCCCTGTGCGGGTGGGCTACTGGGGCTGGACCTGCATGTGTCCTGCCCAGTTATAGGGCAAATGCACGTTGGTGTCAGTGGGGCTGGACTGTGTGGTTCAGAGGCTTATGCTTAGGGCCTTTGGTCAGCATCACGTAGCGTGGTGCTTTGGTAGTGTCAGCAGATCCACTCAGGACCGCTCATGTGTGGCCTGATCATAGAATCATAGAATAGTTAGGATTGGGAAGGACCTTAAGATCATCCAGCTCCAACCCCCCTGCTATAGGCAGGGACACCTCACACTAAACCATCTCACCCAAGGCTCTGTCCAACCTGGCTTTGAACACTGCCAGAGATGGAGCATTCACAACTTCCCTGTGCAACCCATTCCAGTGCCTCACCACCCTAACAGTAAAGAACTTTTTCCTTATATCCAATCTAAACTTCCCCTGTTTCAGTTTGAACCCATTACCCCTTGTCCTATCACTACAGTCCCTAATGAAGAGTCTCTCCCCAGCATTCCTATAGCCCCCTTTCAGATACTGGAAGGCTGCTATGAGGTCTGTGTATGGAATTTCATTATTTTCAGAACAAGGAAATCCCACCCCACCAAAAAAAAATTAAGGGACAGTTCCTCATCTTAAAAGTCTTCAGTTCAGTGTTGGTCCTAACAATTATTTACTGTGTCTTGCAAAGCTCTGTGTGTACGTATACCTATCTGAACAGCTTTAAAGACCCAGGTTTTCTCTGCACACACATGGAAGTCGTATTCCACAAGCTGGAGACAGAACACCAGCCTGTAGCAACATCCTCTCGGGATGTGCCCAGGCTGCAGGATAATGATGGCATCTCAAAGGCAGCCTTAAATCGCCAGCCTGGGCATCACCCCATGGTGCTGAGCTACTGGAGGACTTGCTCAGACAGGTTTTACAGCTCTCTGCTACTCAGCAGCTTTCTGAGGCAGCATCTTACCGATGTGACCTTGGTCTTTGGTATTAACAATGCGATGACTGAGACGGTGGGAGGTGATTTGCAGCAGTAAACCATGCTTTAATAAGGATGCAGGCTGCATGGCCAAGGCAGGTGTGGTTTAATGACTGTACTTTTGCTTCCTAAAAACACTCTCATCCATTCCAGTGTATTGCTGTGCTTGTCCCAGGCAGCGTGGCACGGAAATGGCTGGGCCCTGGGTGCTGGTTCTTGAGTGGGACATTATAAGGATTCAGATATCCAGCCTGCTTCACGGATTCATTTACTTGGATTAATGAATCTGTCTCTGCCTCTGTTTCCCCAAGAGTAATGGGAAGTTACTGGCGTCACAGGGATTTATGAGCTGCTTTCTATATTGGCCGTTTTGCAGAGCGAGATTCAGCTCGCAGGGCTCTGCAGAAGGACGGAGCGCTTGAGTTTGTTCTGTTCTAATCCTGGCTACAGAAAATTGCCAAGTTCCTGCTTAGATTCTCTTTAAACACAAAATATAAATACCCTGCGATTGCCTCCCCCCTCCCCTTCTCTTCCTTTCCTCCCAATCCCCCCCTTTTTCCATCCTTTATGTGTTTTGGTTTTCTTTCTTTTCAGTGTTGCCTGTCTTCCTTGCACGCTGCTCAGGTTGGGACCTGAAGCTCCCTTGCACTGGCACAGGCCTGCAGGAGGAGGCTCCGGGCTTGCTTTGTTTCCACAGGTTGCAAGTGTGAAATCAGATGGATGTTAGTGGTAAGGTCTTTGTGGGAAGAGGGTGTTAAGAGGTGGTGAGTGACTCCGAGAAAGGATGGTCTAGGAGGGGGGAAGAGAGGATGTAGCTAAAGCTAAATACGATGCTTGCTTTTTGCCAGAACCTTTGCAGCAGAAGCATGGATGCATTCCCAGTTGACAGCTCCCTCGCCTCTTTCCTCTCCCACCCTTTTCTCTCTCCCCCTCAGGGGCTACTGTTTGAGGATGAGTTGGTTCCAAACAGACAATACTTTCCTAGTAGATAAAGGGACACCTAAGCAGCTGCGCAGTATCTGTCATGAACAGACACGCTGCACAGAGAGGGAAATTACAAGATGGGACCAGCATCATTTGTCATATTTAAAGCAAAGCAAGCCCCCCCTCCACTTGAGCAGCGTCCACAAGGCAGGGAACAGCACATGGCTAAACGGCCGCTTGCTTTCCAGGCATTTAATGCGTTTTCAGATGCTCCCATTAAACATTCCACCTCTGTGTCCTCTCTGTAAAGGGAGCGTTTCAGACAGATGGAAAGAGGCCTCTGTCCTGACACAGATGCAGGACTATAAATTTGCAGTGGAGGAGATGGGAGATAATTATTTAGGAGGCTTTTGTGGCTTATTCCAGCATCTGGTATTCTACCAGGGTGCCCTATGAGGAGGGGAAGGGACAGGAAGCAGTTAGAGAAATGCTGAGCTTGTTTTTCACTTGGGAAAGGTTTTCAATCTTGAAAGAAGGATTTGGAATTGAGGCAGGAGGAGACATTGATTGAGAAATACAGATGCATCTCCCGGTGTTCGGCATTCTCCCTTTGTTTGCTCAGATCCATGTTTCACGTTGTAGGGCATCTTATCTACTGCTCTTTTAATTGCATTGGTTATGTTGGGTGCCGATGGGCAGCCGCTCACAACAAATCCATCTTGCTGAGCTACTGCGATGGCCTCTGCATCCAGGGCTGAGCACACAGGTTCCTGCCTGGGTGTGCCTGTGGCTGGGCATCCTGAGCATCCATCCACAGCCCCTCCATTCCCATCTGCAGGAGCTCCCAGCACTCACTACACATTCCCTGCCCAGAGCTGAGCAGCAGGCAGGGCTCCCTGCTCCTGCATGACTTTGGAAACCTCTAAGAGGTGTGGCTGAGTCATTTGCCTGTCTCAGATCAGTCATTACCATTTCAAAACGGCTGTTGTTTCTCTGTCTGGTTGCCTGAACCTGGTAGGGGATTGTCTGACTGGGGCTTGATGCAGGCCAACCAACCAGGCTTCTCTTCTTTGTGGTCTCATCAGATCCTGCAGCTCCTGAGACCAGATATTTCCAGACACTTGGAGATTGGCAAGAGTTAGGCACGTAATTAATGCTTTCAAATCTGATAGTTAGGTACCAGGAATGCTCGGTCAGCACTGAGCTGGTGCAGGTTTGCAGTGCTGAGTCCTGTGGAGGGCTTACGGGAAACCTGGAGAGGGGCTTGGGACCAGGGCCTGTAGGGACAGGCCAAGGGGAATGGCTTGAACCTGCCCGAGGGGAGACTGAGCTGAGCTCTTAGGCAGAAGCTCTTCCCTGTGAGGGTGCTGAGGCGCTGGCACAGGGTGCCCAGAGAAGCTGTGGCTGCCCCATCCCTGGCAGTGTTCAAGGCCAGGTTGGACACAGGGGCTTGGAGCAAGCTGCTCCAGTGGAAGGGGTCCCTGCCCGTGGCAGGGGTTGGATCTGAAGGAGTTTTAAAGTCCCTTCAACCCAAACCATTCTATGGTTCTATGCAATGGGCTGATTCTGCTGACAGATATTGCTATTTCTGGGCTGTACCTGGGCAGTGGTTGTCTTTTCCCAATGGAATTTTACTGTTTTAAAATTCACCTTTAGGTTTTTTACTGTGACCCGAGTCTTTGGGACGTGTTCTGCAAAACCAGGTAGAAGTTGTATCCCACATGTACCCACAAACACCCATCAGAGTTCCCAGTCCTCCCTTGGCTCTGTCATTGCTGACTTTTGCTTCTTCAGCCAGAAACGAAAGGAGAGCAGCATCTACACCCATATGAGATGAATACGGCTATCACACAAATAGAATTACTGCCTGCCGAGCAGCAACAGCTTAATGAAAATGGGAACTGTTAAACAAATAAAGGCAGTCAAGCTCATAATACTTCTGTGTGGAATTTCACTGTATTGCTGAGCAGAAATAGAATTAGGCACCGAGAAAGGATGTCTGGAGAAGTCTCTGCCTCTGTGCTTGGTGTGTGAGGCTGGATGAGACAGAGTGAGCCATACCTTACATGTAGAAATGCCACCCTGACCTGGAGAAGAAATCTCTTTATCCAGTGCAGGAGCCTGCTAAAGCAAGGCAGAAGGGGACAGGATAAAGCACTAGACTTCCTCCGAAGCCCAAATGCAAATTGTACAGAGGGATGGATCCCTTGGGAGCTGTGCCATTTTTTTGCATTGCTTTAGCATCTTCTGCTGGTGAATAATTATCCTTCCTCTGTGTGGTCGGTGCAGCAGCATTGCCTGGTGCACACAAAGGGAAACAGAGATGGGATTTATCTACATGGAAGGAGACTGGCAGCAGAGCCTGGGACCTGCCTTCCTCAGCCATGGGAGAGCTGCAGGGTTTGGTATCACCAGGGCCAGGTTAAACCCCAGGGTGAAACTTCAACAACCTCTTTCAAGGTCCCATCTCAAAGGCACAGTAGCCAAGGGGCCATGAGCTCTTTGCGCTCTGCCTGAGGTCTGGACTTTCCTGTGCTTCCATCTCCATGGAAATTCCTGGAGTTCTTGTTAGAGCTAGTGCAGGTTAATGATCCGCTCCAGGATGAGCTCTGGAAAGGCAAAGTGCAGTCTGTACAGCTTGGGGTCAGCCTGTGAAGAAGCCCTGCTGCTGCTCTATCTGCTTCCAGGCAAGGTGACGTCCTCTTGTCCTGGCTTTTCCCATCCATCCCTGTTTGACTGTGAACCTCGGAGTTCGGAGGTTGCTCTTTATCTCTTGGCTCTCTCTTTCTGCACCCTGATGGCACTTCTCCACAAGCAAGCATGGCTTGCTTGGAGTCACCAGTGTATTGAAGGTATTCTGTGTCTGCGTCATGTGGAGCTTTAATGCGCTGTGGAATTAGAAACCTTGGAGCAGTTTAGATGCTAAATGTCTCTATTTTCCTGGGTGACCTTGTGAAATTTCCTTGCACCAGATCTGTATCTCGCCATCCTGCTGCCTTTATCTACTTTGTTTTCTTGTGTATGTTACTGACATCCAGTGAAGTGTAATTGGTTTGAGAAGTGGCACTTAACTACAAGGATCCTGCGAGTAATCCCTGCATTGAATCCCTATATACACAGTGTGCCAGGAATGATTAAAGTCACAAACTTCAATCTTGAGGGATGCACGGGGGAAACCTATCCCAGAACAGGGTTTGGTGTATCTGACTTTGCTGCTTCTGGTGCTTCTTAACAGTAGGATTTGCTATTCTTGTTCCAGGGCTGCAGTGGATTTAAGTCGGAGTTTGGCGTCCTGAATTTACACATCCCAACAACAGTGTTCATCAGTCAGTGTTCTTACTGTACCCTTTCTCTACCCTTTCTCTCTATTAATGTTCCTCAATAGTCTGCAGGGATCATTTGCCAGCCTGATTCAAATTCCTGCCCTTTCCTGGTGTCTTGTTTTATAACATCTTGCATCGTGTACTTTCCATTTCTGTAATCCATTTAATCCAAAATACTGGAATGGCTTTGCAGGTATTTATTGTGTTTCTTTCTTGCTCGTGTTAGGAGGGAACGGGGCATTTATACAACTTCATCCAAAGTCTCTTGGCTTCTGGGATTATTTTTTCCTTTTCCTTTCTCCACTGCTTATCCCGGTAGCAAGGGCAGCAATGAGGAGTTGCCTCTCTTTGTGCATTGTGATTCATTGCGCTGTGCTCGGAGCACGGCTTGGCAGCTCAGCAGTTAAACCCCTGCAGCCAACATCCCCCAGCCATAACATTACTGTTGCCTGTCCTTAATTTTTGGAAGCGTTGGGCTTAGGGTTTGAAAGAATGAAATGCTGTTGCATCAGTAAGTGGTTTTCCATTCCTTTTGGCTCTGGAAACGGATATTCACAGTTGGGTGAAGTTCATTTTAATCCTCACAAAACCAGAGCTGGATTTGTACAAGTTGTCGTTGTTCTGCTTTAGAAACACTCTGTGCCTTCTGGATCCCTTTATCCCTCCTGAGGGCTAATCCACAAGCTTGGGAAATGCTCAGGGTGGCTGCAGTTGTGGGATGGAGGGGCATCCAATGTCATCTCCTTTTCCTCCTGTATTACCTACTCTGGCGTGTTCCAGAAAGGCACGGTGCTGTCTGCAGTGTACTGATGTGTATAGATAGTGGGATGTAATTATCTTCCCCTGAGGTAGAGTCATTATGCTGGCTGTAAAGAGAGAGGGTCACAGTCCTAATGGGAAATGATTTTAAAGCAATCTTGACCAAGTCTAGTGGAGCCATTTCAGACCACTTAAAACTCAGCCAGTCCTTCACAGCACTTGTGATACGTCCACTTTACGCGGTGAGAGGCACTGGGACTAACGCTTGTCGAGGGATACAGGAAATCTGTGCTGAGCTGCAGCATCAGCTTCAGGAGAGGTGTGTGCTGCTGTGGGGAAAGCAGAGCAGGGTCTTGGTTGCTCTTCTTGAGACTGGTTTGGGAAAGGTGAGGTGCTTGCAATAGGCAATAAGGCTGTTGTCATGAAACCTTGGGCTTCCTGTGCTGCAGAAACCACTTCACATAAGTGATTTTCTATGCTTCAGTCCAGTACAGAAGCCCAATAGCCGGGGCAAGTTAGCAAAGCTCTGAGCTGGTACCCAGGAGAGCAAGAATAACCAGTGGTGAAAAGCTCCATGTCTGATTTTCATCCTTTGAGCTCCTCTATAATGTTATTGGGAAACAAAACTTGTTTAAATAACGGAGCAGACCCAGTGCAGTTGTGCAGCGATGCGGAAGGGCTGAGGAAGGGTTATTTCCTTTCTTTCCATTACTTTTCTCTTCCTGCCTTGCCTCCCAAACGTGGGTGGAATCTGCGTGTCAGGCACCAGCAACATCAGCCTGGCTCCGTGGCTTTTCGTAACGGCAAAAGGAGGAGATTAAATGCAATTAACATTGATTGAACAAAACCTGCCTTCAGTTTGTATGGTGGTTAATTAACAGCATCCTTTCAGCAGCGCCTCTTTGTAGAGCTGTGTTTGTACCTCCTGGCCCTGGTATTTTCTAGCACATGTCCAAAATCAAAAGCAGTGAGCGTGTTCCCTACTGTGATGTCTGGGGCTACCAGCTCAGCGGGGAGATGCGGCCCCCAGCCGGGAGGAGGCTTCTGTGCAGTTTAGGAACTGTGGAGCTGCTCAGTCAGGGGCAAAACGTTTCCTGTTAAGCAAGGCTAATGACGGGAGCTCTCTGCCAGTTAGAACCACGATCAGAACGATTGTGTGGAGGAAATCAATGTTAGAATGCATGACCAAACAGGTGAGTCTCAAAACAACCTGAGTTGTGCTAGTAAATAGCTGCATATGTGGGGCGATGGGGAGGTGTCGGGGCAGAGCATAGCGAGCAGTGTGTCAGCCCTTGTGAGTCAGAACTGGGTGAGGAGGGGGAGAGGAAGCCGGACCAGTGGCTTCTGTGCCTTGCTGTGTTGGTGGGTGTGTGGAGCAGGGCACTTCCACTGGAAAGCCCTTTCTGGGCATCCGGACAATGCGTCTGTGGGGGGGTTTGACAGGCGTCTTTGGTGCTGCCAGGCCAGCTCTGGAGACACCATCTGGGATAGCAGCCAAGAAGTCACTGGGTGAACTTCTCTGCTTTACAAAGCCATTAACACCAGTACAGAGAAGAGGGGAAACAAAACTCTCTTCATAGCCCTTTGAATTAATGTTTTTTGTTGCTGCCAGGCATACTGCTGCCCCTCCTTATTCCAAACCCAAGGACAGCAACTGTTGGGCTCCTGAAGGATGAGCGAGACAGAGAGGCTTTTCTGTGCAATAACTGTATGGCACAGAAGTGCTGTGATCCATTAGTCAGCACAGCTGCTCCACAAAATAGCCAATACCCTGAATGTAACAGAACAAATTGCACATAACCAAAAAATACCTACAGCATACATCAACCCAGAGTGACTCAAATGTCCCTTGCAGTGCTTCGGGGTGCTAATAGCCCTGCAACAAATGCCTTCTCCAGGGGGAAAGGCCTTGAACACCCATCTCAGGACGGGTCAGGGGTTGGTTTGTCATTAGTGCCTCTTTGCAGACTAACTGAGATGCAGGAGTTGTGCAGTCACATCAGTGGGGTGCCAGC